GGAATAGCGGAGTGATCTCATGGTCAAGTAGAATCACAGTTTTTCCAAAACTATTCGACATGTTCCTGTTCTAACATCTGTCAGACTTGCACTAAAATGTAGCCATTTCTTTAGAACCAGCCTTATCAAGGCAGTAACTGATTCAAATAGCCAAGCAGCTAATTCACCTGGGAGTACACACTTTCAGCTGTGGTGAGAACGTGTTGAAGTAAGGTAGTGGTGATGCAGATACTGAAAAGGTCACTCTTGCTCTTAGTGGAGAACATTCTGTGTGCCTACGTTAGTGAAATTAATTCAGTTCCTTCCCTTTGGGATTGACACTGCCCACAGACCTGAGCTTAAACAACAAAGATAAGAGGCTCACGCTGTGTGAGCATTTAGCGTTTACAACTACCTAATATGAAAGAATACTCACAATTTTCATCTAAACAGACTGTGACAGATCACACAGCCTTATTTTTTCTGAAAACGTCCTTTATAGTAGTAACCCATAAATGTTTAAAAGAGTAAGGATTTCAGACTAAGAGAGCTGCTTTTTAAAAGAACTGCATACCCACTTACCTGCTGTTTTCCCAAACACAATTCACTCATATCTCTGGAATGATACTCTACAGTGCTAAAATGACCCTCCCCGCATATTTTCAAGCTTGTAATGTATGCCTCTGATTGCCACTTTCTAAAGGCAGTAATTTTAAGAGTAGAAGAAAGGAAGAAGTTTTAGGGCCCTTAAATCATTCTCTGCAAGAAGACAAGTTTCTTAAACAGGAGCATATTAGTACACAAGGTAATTGTAGAGGAGATCTAACCAGATACACACACCTATACTGAGATTTCAAAGGAGCAGCCCCCACAGTATATTTGCACCCCCTGCTAGGAAGTCTGGTAATCTCTACCCCACTCTAGTAAACATTAGGACCATGTTTAAGTACCATATTTACTCAAATATAAGATGACTGCCCAATAATTAGATTCTATGTGTGGAAAATTCATAAGTTTGTTATCATTTTCCAGGCATACAATCTAATTATTAGAGATTTGCCTTAAATTTTTCTTGTGTCAGAGCTACAGCAGGGAAAATAAATCTGGGGGTGAAATGTTCCCCTTGACCACTCCCCTCCCCAACTTCTTCCCTTTCCAGCCCCTTCCCACCTACTGTACTATCAGACTCTGCTCTCCCCTGAGCACATGGAAGTAAGAGGCAAATTGGAAAACACTGAATTTGAAATAAACATGCCTATAGTGATCTACATTGTAGCAGGGCACTAAGGTGCCTGCTACTTGGAAAGCTGGAGTAGTGGCTCAGGTGCTGGTTGCTAGGGGCAACCAGGATGAACTGAGGGCCCACACCCGGAGAGTCAGCTGACCGGAAGGGACAGGGCTGACTACTATAAGACAGACTGGAGGCTGTGAGGGCTCTCTCTCTCTGCTGGCAGATAGGAAAAAGGAGTACTGCCTGAAGGTGGGAAGGAGAATAAGGCCTGAATGTACCTGCCGCTAGTTACACAGGTGAGAGGTGGTGTAGTTTGGAGGATGTTTAGCAAGGAGGTCTAACTTTGTGTTGTAGCCCAGGGGCTTCTGTTATTGTTTTGTTGTTGTTGTTACACCGGAAGACCGGGTGAGGCTATTAGAGGTTGGAGGAGGCCTCATAGGGGCTCCACGGTAGCATGGGGACCCCAGTGCCAGAGAGGGCACAACATTCAGGGGTGCATTGACCCCAGCCCTGAGAAGGGGAGCAGAGGATTGGGAGGGGGCCAGGTAAGGCCGAGGCCGCCTGAGCCCTAAGTGCGAGAAGCCCCAGAGTGGGCAGTTGCAAGGGCGCGGAGAGGGAAATTGACCAAACAACGTCCGGTACATCTGCGAGGCTTGGGGCATGGTACAGGGGTGGTTGGAGCCAGGCATGGCCCATAAGGCTGGGGTGCACCGAGTCACCCAAGATAGAACTAAGACTGGGATACATCAGGGCACAGTGTCAGAGAGGACTAAGGGCAGCCTCCCATAAACACTGTTAACATCAAAGACATGGCGGGTGAGATGTGAGGGTGCTTTAGCACCTACTTGGAATGGTAGGGGGCGCTAGGGGAGATCACAGCCACCCCTAAGACGCCACGCTGTCACATACATGTAGGCAAATTACTATGGGTACTCATAGAATTAGTTCATCTAGAACTGATACAGTTTACACTTTTTGAAACCGCTGCAAGTTTTAGCATAGGTACTCTGTAATCCAGTGGTCTCCAACCTTTCTAAGTAGGAGAACACCTTTGGTATTTAAAAGCAACCCAAGATCTACTGTGAGCTACCGTCCCCCCCCCCCCCCCCAAGCAGGTAAGTTCGAGGCAGAGGGAGAAAAAATTATTTGGAGGCGCGCTTCCCCAGCACGCAAGTCCCACCCAACCAGGGCCCCACTCAACTTGCCCCTGCTCCTGCCTCTGCGGCACTGTCCTTCACTGCAGGGGCCTTGATCTAGCCCCTGCCCCTTCCCTCCCTCACAACTGACCTGTTGGGCTGGTGCATGCACATGCATGCACACAGGCACTCAGCCCCCCACCCAAGCCTCGGATCAACTCCAAGTGGCTCCGAGATCTACTGCAAGAGCCTCCAAGATTTACCAGTGGATCGAGAACCACTGGTTGATGACCACTGCTGTAATCATGCTTCTAAGCAGGACCTTTGTACATATTTATATATAGTATCATTTTTTTAAAATTGTGTCTCAGGCCAAATTAGCCAAATCAGTTCCAAATTCCAACTTGGGACCATGAAATCCAGAGGCAGCCTCCATGAATTAGGTTGGTCCCTACATATAGTTCACTGGGCTGGACCCCAGCAGAGTCAACAGCTTTTCAAGCCATGCTGACCCTACAGCTCAGCACTACTCAGTAAGTGTGTGTACTCAAATAGGCCACCCACAAAGGATTCATGTGCTAACTAGCCTGTCCCCACTCACGACTGGGACTGGGTGTTCTTGTCATGAATCCTGGGATCCTCCAAAAACGGCAACCTGGTCCAGCTCCTCCTCATGGAAGGTGGGGTCATATTAATCATATGCAACAGCCTGAGAGAGGGGGTGACAGGAATTCTGGGTGAACTGTTTGGGGCCACATTTGGTGATGTCTGCCAGGCATTTAAAGCTGGTGAAGAAACAAGAATCACTGGAAATGGAAAGGAAAGGTGTAGCTCAGCTTTGGGAGCAAAGAAAAGTCAAAGATCAAAAGTAGCATTTTTTGGCACCAAAGGGAGGATGTCAGGGCTGGCTCCAATGCCAGCCTAGTATTGCAATACCTCTAGGCCCAGGGCCAGTTTCCTGAAAAGGGAACACCCAGGTAGTTCTTTTTAAAGGCCACACAAAAAAGGTTCCCATTACCATCTCAGCCTTTTTGACTCCAACATCACCAGACTGACTGATGGACCCAGAGGGGATCACCTGAACCCCACTCTGCAACTAATGGACTCTGAGAGATACCCCCAACCATGGACTACTTCACTCCACCCGGCAAGGACCCCCGTGATAGGACTCCATGGACTGAGTGACTTCTGTTCTCAAATCACTCCCTCCACCACTGCGAACTTTTGTACGGGTTTGTTTGCATCTATCCTCTTTTTCTCTCAGCATCATGATCCCCTTCCTCTACCTCTTCCTCCACCTCCAGGCTTAGATGACTAACACTGTATCTATGTAAACTAGTTGCGTTTCTCACCCCCATCCCTCCTATGTTAGTCCCTTGCTTGGGCACTCTATTTCCCTTATGGCTTTGTCATTTTTTCTATGACCCTTAACATTCTCTAATAAAACTAAATCAGTTCTTTTTGGCATCAAAGGTAGGGTGTCGGGGCTGGCTCCAGACCTCCTGGTGCCCACTTGTCATTGCAGTGCCTCCAGGCTTGGTGCCAATTCCCTGCAAAGGAAACACCCACCCATTTTTTTAAGGGCCACACACAAAAACAAAAAAGATTCCCAACAGCCTCTTGGCCTGCATTTTTGGCACTAAGTGAAGGGTGTCAGGGCTGGCTCTGACACCCAACCCTGGTTTTGCTGTTCCTCCAGGTACCAGCCTGGTATTGCAGTACCTCCAGGCCTGGCGCCAGTTTGAATACATGCCCCTTTTTTTTTTTTTTTTTTTTTAAGTGTCAAAAAAAAAAAGCTCCCATCAGCATTTTTGGCACCAAGGGAGGGTGTCAGACTTTGCTCCAGCCTCTCTGAGTGCTGGGCTGGTATTGTAGTACCTCCAGGCCCAGTGCTTGTTCCCTCCCTCTGTTATTTTTTTTTAAGGACCACACAAAAAAATCCATCTGTATGTTTGCCCAATATGGGCCATGTGTATTATAGTCATGTTCTGTGTTGGCTGCATTTAATCAACTTCATAGTTGGCTTCCATTACTGAACACACATTGCTTTAGGCAGCAGTTTAATGATGGACAATGTATTTAATGAGGTTTCCTTGTATGCAATTGTAAGATGAGGAGCTTTTTCCCTCCGGTACTGATTGGTGAGAAAAACCTTGTCTTATATTCAATCAAATATGGTAATACCTGACAATTATTTATTTATTTTTTTTTTGGAAAGTCACTCCTTAACCAGTGGACTAGCTTTCTTCTCTGTTTTCCTTTGCAGCTAGCCAGGATAGAAAGCCAATCCAGGGTAGGTTGAAGCTATCCACCTTATCTTTTGGAGTAGGAAGGAGGAAAAGCAATTCTTGGGCTTTTTCAACAAGGATTGCAATCCTCATCACATATCACAACTATGCCAAGACACTATTTCCTCCTCCTGCCTCTCACCATTGAGGACCATGCAAAGTTGTTACTGCATCAAAGAAGCCATGAGGCTGAAGGGTGTGCTGTTTGGCAGGTCACTGATTCTTCATGAATGTCTTTCAGACTTTTCCAGGAAGTGCCCAGCAGAGCAGACCCCTAATTGCAGCTGATGACTCTAGGCATTATTGTAAGGCAAACTACAATAGTATATGACCTACTAGGTTTTGAAGTTTTTATTAAGTACTGACCTTCACATGATTCTCCGCCTGGTAAAAACATGCCATTGTCATGGTAGCCATCCCTGCACTCACAGTGGTACCAGCCAGGCAGGTTAATGCAGTTAGCACGGCTGTCACATTGAACAAAGCCATCTGAACATTCATCAATGTCTGTACAGGAACAAAAAGAAAAGAAAAAAAACCCTGATGAATCAGATGCATTCTTTTGTTGACAACACCATATTTGTTGCATTACTGGGGTTTATAAAAAAATATTTTCATCCTCAGTATTGCAATAAATAAAGATGTAGCATTTTTTAATGCTTTCCATAAAACATACAGGATACCTACAAGCCTATATTAATGAATACAGACAACGATCTAATAGCTTTCTCTATTAATCATTAATAACTCATTCAATCACAATAAATGCTAGATAGCCTGCTATCTGTTATTGCCAAAGATACTAAGAAAAGAATAGGTCTCGATTCAAACAATAAGACATATTTCCAACTATTAGTCCTCTGATAGGTCCAGGCCATGCATTTCATTATTCTGTATTTCAGCAGAATACTAAAATAAAACCTGGGTCCCTGAACCAGTGAATTAATGCCCTTCTAGAGCATAGGTTACAACTACTGGGCAATGTAACTGCTTTCAAGGGAGAGTGCATGTAGCCAGAAAAAAACAGAATCTGATATTTCATCCTTGGTTATTACCTTAAATAATATGTTTTCCAAACCATGCCCGATTTTTCTTCCTTCAAATTTTATTTCCTTGGAAAGAAAAGGATAGCTTCCAAATGAACAGGTCTCCAGTACACTCTCACTTTTGCCAACATTACATTCACGAACATTTCTACAATTTCAGCTGAGAAATTTCTGATTTTCCAAGAAAATCAGCTACTCCTGTTCTCAGTGTATTGAGAACAATACTAGCCCTGTCACTTCAAACATGATTAATAACTGTTCAAACAAATAGCACGGCCCGCAGGATATAATACAACACACCCTTCTTCTCCTAACATACTATTGTAATGTGGATTTCTTAAAACAACACCTTTTACTGACTAAAATTTTCCAAAGGCTCCTTCCTTGAATGGATTTCTGGACACCTCCAGCAGATACAGCATATAGCAAGGCCTTCCTTATTGATTACTAAACACATTAATCCATTATATAAAGTGAGTATATTGTATTTTATTGTTTTCCAACAGCAGGGACTGCAATGCTGCCTAACTTATACTTCACATCATGGGTCAGATTTTCTCCTCTTACCTATGCAACATTATTTCCATTACAAAATAACAGCTATTCTCACAGAATGGACACCAAGTGGTAGACTTTACTATCTGAATGGTATTAATGACTTGGGATGTAGGAACTAAGGAATATAAATAAGAATAAATAGGGATATTCACTACCAGGAACAATAACTGTTTTTGCAGATCTGGACACTACTGTATTGTATACCAAGTATAACAGTAAACTTGAGAAATCAGCCAAGTGAGACATGGGATATACTAAGCACCCTGAAGGGAAGTGGGCTTATATCAAACAAAGGTAAGGTGTGCTTGCCTCATATATATATATTAGGACAAAAGAGGCTTATCCCCACTAGGCAGTCAAAAGTGGATGTGGTAATAGTCACATCACTTTATTGTATGCTACTGGCTACAGAAACTGGTACTACTTAACCATTCTAGCCAGCTGGGCATCTGTGTCTGGGATTGACTTTTTGACATCACTTATTTGATATCTGGTAGGTACCTACACAGTGAGTGTCTATACGAGATGCTACTGCACAGTGGTTACTGCACATTTATTTAGTACTTGTAAATTTATTTAGCAAGTGCTAAATAAATGCATAGTAACCCAGTTATTGTGTGGTAGCGCTGGTGATCATCTTTTAAGTGACACTACTGTGTAGTAGCCTAATAATACTGCACAGTAGCATATTAGCACTGTCTGTGCTGTGACACGTTACTGTGCAATATCATTAGGCTACTGCACAGTCAGCATCTCATGTAGATGTGCCCACTGACCAGTGGGACACATACATAGTGGATCAAAACTCTGCCCTAAGGCTCTCTTGGATCACATTAATGTGATCCGTTATTTCTATAGAAGGGAGTGTATTCTTAAAAAAATGCAATCCGAGATGTAGAAGGGCAAAATATGTAAATCTTCCAGCACCATCAGTCTTCCTTCTCGTGAATAAAATTAAGTTGAAATCCAAAGATTCCTTATTCATACTAGGCCTGTGTGAAGCAGCCAGTATTCGATTCAGATTCAGCTGATTTGGGGGACAGTGATCTGATTCAGTGATTCGGATCACTGTCCTGAATCGATTTGGAGTCTGGAGGGGGACTTCTTTTTGGGTGTGCTCCCCCTGGTGCCAGGCTGAGAAGGAAGAAGGGCAAGGAGGTGCTGCCTCCTAAGATGCAGCAGCATCACTGTGGTGGCGAAGTGTTTCACGTTCTTGCCCCAGCTGATCTGCCTTCAGCGGTGCTGGCAGGTAGCATACCTGGGATCATCTGCCAACTCAAAATGATCTCACACTACACTACCTCCCCACACTTCTGGGTTGAGGGTGGGGATCCTGCCTTATCCCCCTCCTCAGCAGGCAGAGGCACAACAACAGGGGAAGCTGAGCCACCTGTCCCCACAACCTCCTCCAAGGTGCCTTCTGGAGAAGGAGACCTGCCTCTAAGGAAACTTTGAGGGGTGTGGAGCAAAAACTCAGATTCCCCTTCCTTCCCCAGAATTTCCCTGGCAATGGCACTTGGTTCCCCTACTTCCAGATCCAGCTCTTCCTCTGGCACTAGAAGGCTCACACTGCAAGCTGAAGCTGAGATGGAGAAGACTGTCATGCTGGTACTGGTAGCTATTTCTGGAGGTGGTGCAGGTGCAGGGACAGGTACTGCTCCCATCTCCTTGCTCCCACTGGCAGAAGAAGACTCATGGCTGCCAGGAAAAAGTGTGCATCTATGTTTGGGGGGGAGGGGGAAATTGCAGCTCTCCTCCTTCTCCCTCCCCTGTCAAAAGACCTGGCACCTGCCTTTCCAGCATGCTTCATAATGTTTGCTGTGCTGGAAAATGTGTGTATGTGTAATATATTTTCTGTTTAATATATGTGTGCATGTGTGTGTAATATATGTGCTTTCCTGCACAGTGATGGATGAGACACTGCTAGGGATAACATGGCTTTCTTTTTAAAAAAGTGTGTGTGGGGGGGAAATAAAAAGAACAAATAAGAGGATTTGGGGAGAAGAATAAGTTGGAAGGAATGGATTGGATAGGGATTCTAGACAAAGGTAATTATTAAGGTGTAGCCAATCCTTTCCAAGAAGAGAGACTAGCAAGAGAATGACTAGGAAGCCAGCCACTGCAGCTAGTACCTTTCACATGCTTCCAGACAGACAGCTTATATGCTGCTTCTACATCCTCCCCCAGAGCACTGTGATTGGAAGGTAACTCAGGGAAAGATCACAGTCACTGGCCAGCTACAGGTGTCATTATCAGAGCACTCTTTTCCCCACTCCTCCCCACCCGTTCTCAGTTCCTGTTTCCCCGCAAGCAAGACCACCTTCTGAATTGCCGAATCACCGGATCTTTTCCAAATCGATTTGGATGCTGCAAGTTGATTCAGAGTTTTTAATGGGTCTCATGATTTGATTCCGATTCGATGATTCAGCCACCAATTCAGACCAAATCTTCTCCAAATCAAATTGGCGACCAAAGCTTTGCACACCTCTAATTCATACACATATCAGTTTGAAGGAGTTGAAATAATAAGCGTTTTGTAAGTACACCTTCTTGTGTATCTCTCATTCAACATCCACATTTTTTTCTACCTGCATTATTTCTGTAGGGTCTGGGAGCAAATTGCTGTTGTGTGTTTTAGGTACATGTGAAGTCGACTCACATACTACACTCTTGTATTAAAAGGATTGCATTAATAGTTATTTTTTTTCAATGTTAACTCATTACTGTATTGACTTTAAAGTGGTTTACAACTAATTGTAGTCTACTACATCTGGTTAATATAGCTCATCCCGATCATTGCCTTCTCTGTCAAAGATTACTCTATGCTACAACAATGCTCGCTAGAATTACATTCTAATATAATTTATCTCAATGAAACTTTTATGGTCAAAAGGTGTCCTTACTCTGTATTAGGAACTTAGAAATAAGAATCCCTTAGTGCAAAAAAAATCACCAGAATCTTCAATTTTTGCAATCCATCCCAAGTTATCAATAAACTAAGTCCTGCTACAGGACTCAGAAAAGGCAAATCTTTACAACTTTCAGCGGTGTAGTCTGTCTCTCAGATGGTACAAACTCTGGCCTTTCTCTGGTGAGGAGCCAGGAGACAGTGAGACTTCAGAACAGTTTTGAGAGATCAGAGAAAGATCAATGAGAATTATGTTGCTGGGGTGATAAAAGGCTGCTTTGCAGTCTGCACCTTATGCTATTGGTGTTCCCTTGTTCTCTTAGACACTGGCAGATTGTAAGGCAAAAAAAAAAGAAAGAAAGATCTGAAACCTAGAACTTCCCACATCACTGAGGAGTGTACAGTTTGAGAGTTAGCTTGCTTGTGAGTGCATGATCTAAGTTATTGTGCTAAAGGCTTGGGATCATATATTGAATACATGACAGCCTGTTGGGGTTGGTCAAAGCTACAACCCCCCCAAAATCAATGAAGTATGTAGTCTCAAAGGTGGAAGGAAGTAGAGTACTGTTGTTGTTCAGACTGGATGCGAATCTTTATGGTTGCTACTTAATCATATGCATTAAAAATACTAGACTGTACATTTCTCCTACTGAAATGTAGAATTTATTTATTAGGAATGATGGGGAAGAAAGGGGGTTATGTAGGTTATAGAGGCAGATATGAATTAAAGAGGGCTAGTGTGTCTCTCTTCAGGACAATTTTTTTTTTAATCTGTAAATCTTATAATTATGAATACAGCATTGCAGGCACAGGGTTTATGCATTTTGATGAGCTCACTTACTGATTATATTCAGGAAAAACAAGCCTTGAATGACATGTCAGCATTGGTAAACTGACAGCCAAAGTAGCTATTCTGTATTTATTTGCAAACTAACTGACAAACCTATATCACAAGAAATACTACTTGGGATGAAGTGCTTTTACAGATGCCAATA